AATGCTGTAAAAATTCATGACAAGTTATTTTCCTCTGTAACATATTTATAGGGTCATGTACATAGCAGGCATATGTAACGCCTCTGTAGCAATAAGGACTGCAGGGGTAAGGTCATATATTTGAGAAAAAAATTAGGAAGACTATTCTCAGAAATGATTATCTGCATCAGTTCGGTATTATTTGGTAAATAATTTTCAAAGGAAATGATTTGTTTTTCCAGATACATGTACTTGGATGCAATGGTTGACCTCCATATGAAGATCTTTGTTAAAACCTGACCATGGTGCTAGTCTAGATATAGCAGCTACATTGTACTCTATGGTAAGCCACATGTGGTAGATCAAATAGCACTGAGTGTGTTATTTTGGTGGTTGGTTAAGGCTGTACTGATAACCTGGTAGTATTACTTACACACAAGTATGTATTCCCCATTGGGTCTAAGGACACAGAAGTCTGGCCAGTTCCTGACTTTTGTCTTACATGTTGGTCCACCTCTGGAAGTAGAGTACTGTAGTCCAGTTAGTAGTTATTCATCGGGCAGGAGGTAGTAATTTCCTCCAGAAACTGATTGGAACATTGAATCTATATTGATACCTAGCTAGACAGATTGTGGTTCTGTGCAACTGTGGACCTAAGCCTGAGAAATACTGGCACAGGAACACTGTACCATCACGGAATATGAGCTCATAAGGAAGTATAGTAAAGAGATGCAGGAAGATTGTAACTTGGACAGGAAGGAGCAATGTCCATGGTCACAGATGTCTCACTATCAGTAAGAAGCACATGTATGTAAATACATAGTACATGATACCCCTTCTGGACATAGAATACACCACTCTCCTTGTGGGTTGCAAGTGAGTGTAGGTTTAGATAGTTCAAAGCTTGGATGATGTGACCAAGGATAATGTCCTTGATGTGATGTTACTGCAGTAATCTACAAATTGAAAGTCAAGTTATTTCAACAAAAGAGGACTATCCTCCTCCCTGTGATATTTTCCAATCTAAGAGTCTGTAGCATGTTGCTGTGTAAACAGTGACAAGAGGAATGCCGTCGGTGCTGAATAATGTATTCAAGACAGGTGCACTCTTCTAACCATGTTCATTCCTACCATTCAAAGGCATCTTTTTGCTCGCACAAATGGGATGTAACTGGTTTACTGCTGAATTATTGGTTGTTCTATTTGGCTGTGCAGATCACTGGAGTGTATGGAGGTAACTGCAGAAGGAAATGTGTTATATGTGTGTGCAGAGTTTCAGGAAACAGCTGAAAAAACTGTGATTGTTACCTAAAGTGGAAGTTCCTGGTACCCAGATGAGATAAGTAGGAAGCTCAGTTTGATAATGACCCCCCAGGGATATGCTAACATGTCTCATCTACACCCCTTAAAGCTAAGAATTCCTTAGTAATTATATTAGGCTAATGGTGCTGATTTCAGGAACATGTACTACTGTATTAGGTATCCTGATAGGAGTTGTATGTATATTTTTTCCAGATTGTCAGTGTTTAGAAATGTGAAGTAGAACTGGGCACATTTTAACTGCCATAACAGTTACCTTCTCCCTCTTATCTATGAAAGACTAGACTGGCCTACATGTAGATAATGTATCTTGGTGTTCAATGGCCTGCATTCTTGCCATTCTGGCTTGTATCAAGGGTCACAAACTACAGCAAATACACAGCAACATAACGCTGTGGTTGAGTGGGGTGCATCGGAATTTGGAGACACAGCCAATGCAAAGCATGTCATGCTTTATGTGAAAGTATTGATGTAGTTTTCTCAGAAGCCCAAGACATTTCTTTAATTTTCCTTGATACATGTACATGTATTTCTGTACCCTGAGCATGAATCACAGCTTTATTGTTCCAGCTGTTATAACCTGTTTTACAAATGTGACCCACTTTAAGTAACAGTCCTCACTGCCACAAAGAGTCTCTGAAATCTGCAGTTAAGTTTCTGGACTCTATGGACCTTTCAACCTTCTTTCAGGAAGTGTATCATCTTTTCGCAAATTGCATCATTTATCAAAAGCGACTTTTCAATTCAGCCAAGATTTTGGCCCATTTTGGTGAATACAGTAGGTCATCACACATCACTGCCGGTGACTGAAATATCCTGTGTAGTTTTCAAGCTTGACCTATAAGTTACATGAGAAATCTTATTATTGCCATTTCATTGTTTGATACAAGACATGCCTCTTTTCAAAATATACCCCCCATCACTCAGTGCTGATAAACCTTTTAAAGATGTATCATAGGGAGAACTTGTGCCATTCATTAGAAAGTCATTCCAACCCCTACCTCACCAGCATTTACCTCTCAGATACTGAGAAATGTGCAACCATCCTGTCTTTGTGTTGTGAAGTTGAAGGTAAAAAATAATTATTTTGAGAATTCTACGACACATGTATTCTATAACCCAGAGTAGGTTTGGACAGGACATTTATGGACTGTGACTAATGCATCCCTAAAGTTTCAAAGTGACACATGGTTTGCAGTGTTTTATAAACAATCCCAAGTTGAACAACATCTAGCTGACAGTGCTGTTATGCTTACATATTTTCATAGTTTTATCAAACCGTATTCTTGCACTTTTTGCACATGGTATGGTATTCAGAGTAAGCATGTAACTATTGCAAAGGAAAAAAGACTTCATTGCTTCATTGCAAGCCACATACCATTACATTTTTATCTAACACTTTGCCAAATGAAAATGCTTGCACAGCATTGTTTATCAAGTGATCATATTTTTGTAAATTGTACATATGGATACCAGCTTTTTCCCAAGTATGATACTTGTTACCATATATATTCCAGTTGTTAAAGTCATATTAGCAAGGTTAAGTTCAATTGTTTTTTTCTATTTGTGCAAATATGTTGCAGTTGTATTTACTACTGGTACTACACATCTACAATGTTTCTTGCCATGTTGTGTCAACTAGTACTACAGCTACAGTAGAGTGTTGGCTGACATAAACTATTCCTATCTCTCTTTACTAGCTGTGTTGATAGGTGGGCCTGAAGTTACATGTGGCTTCACATGATTGCCTGTTATTACAACTGATGGCTTTATTTATGTATGCATATTTGATTGTAACCAAATATGTACCAGTACTTCTTACAAAGGACCACATCTTCCCCATGTATGTCTGGGAAGTTGCAGAAGGTTGTAAATGTGTTACAGGAGATTTTGAGAAAAACTAATAAAATCATTTTTGAATCAGTGATGGGTTTTAATCATTTCACTGAGGATGATGTTGGTACAGTTGTACTTATAAATATGACTCTATGATGACCATGATAAGTAGTATATTCAATTCTATTTGAGGGAGAGAACCACAAGGGGATGTGCCTTTCTGGTAGGGAAAGTCCTTTGAATACTTCTACCTGGCCCTAGCCCGGCATGACCCTTTGGTTTTATGGTACAAAACATACTGTAAGCATAATATGTGGGGCCTTCTTATTCAGCAAAAAAACAACAGACACTAAACATTAGGTGCAAATATTTACCTTTATTTGGGGAAAATAACTCATAACTACTAGGTAATCACCATACATGATGCTTCAGAAAGCTAAACCTACTGTGAGAAGTTAAATGTGACATAGCACATCTCAGCAACTGCTACACTAACTACAACCAAAAAGTTGTATTGAAAAGCGGATAGAGCCAAATGCATCTAAGGCAATAAATCCACTTCATACACATCCCTTGGTTGCAATCATGGTCTAGCATTTGTACTTTGCATAATTTAATACACGCGGTCTTGTTACTTGTTGAAGAAGCTAGTTAAGACCTCTGTATAAAGGTTAGCTACTGTACAGCTCTACGCAGAAGATTCCAATTTGCCCAGACGAATGGACACTTTCTTTATCTGGTTTGAAGACTCATTACTCAGTCCACCTGTGTCCACAGTTTGGAGCTGTGCATACATAGTAAAGTCTCATGGCATCCTGTTGGAAAAAAACATTGCACAAAAATATCAAATATTACAGCTGATTCAATGTTTCCAGAGCATACTAGTATGATCAGCATTTATGTTACAATTTACTGATACCAGTGATATGATAAATCCGAAATGCTTTCAGAATACAGTAGGGTTGTGCCATAATTCAGGACTTACACGTTAGATCTACACGTTAGTTTTTTTAACCAGAAAGTCATGAAAATCTGTATAACGCTTTTACCTCTGCTTTTGTAGTTTGTGACTGAAAGAAGACTGCTTCTCTGTGTCCACACCTATGAACAGAGGAGAATACTTTGTGATGAGATCCTGACCAAGAAACTGTACTTTGTGTCCATGATCTATCATGTGTCAACATATCATTAACGCATATATTTCAGTTCATAGAAACCTATCTCTATACTGCATGAATTGTTGCTTACTTTCCAACATATACAATACCATATATTGTATTCATATTTACTTCAGATACTAGGCTTAAAATAAAAATTGCCATTCAATTGCCTTGGATACATACCAATACACTCATTGTGTATTCAAATGTGTTGTGCTTGTTTCCAGTGTAATAAGGTCTAACACTAGTAACAGATTATGAGAATCTTACTTTGGACATTGATGATCTTCTGTGCGGGGTAGGGTAGGGTCTTGGGCAACATCTGCTACAATCTGAGTCAGCTCACTGAGAAAGGGAAGAAAATCACTTACTCAGTATGGTTACCACTAGTTTTATTCACAGGAAACATTGATATCTACGTGTACATTAATGCAGTATACTATGAACAACACCCTTAAGCTGAAATTCTTTAATAATTATGGTGTTTACAATCTGTCATTGAAAAGATTATACTAGTATAATACATTTGTATTTCACATGCAATGGTGTATTCAACTAGGGCTGGCTGGGAAAGTTAAACCCAATATTGACAGATCCTGAAATGTGAATGTATGGAAAATTCACAAAGCTTTGCCACTTACTCTACTTCATGCATGATCTTGTTGACATAGATGCAGCTGTTGTCTGCAACCTGTTGGTAGTCACAATTTCTGCACTGAAACAAAAATGTTACAGGTTAGAGCTTACTCTGTTACTGGTAGCTGACAATTGTGCAATATAACAGGGTTAAGATGTGAATTTGATTGTTGATCTGAACAAGAAGGTTAACCTCCTTGATCTGAACAATTTATCCCTATTTGTCACCATAAAACCTTCTGATATTAAACTTAAAAGTATCACAATCACAAGAAACAATAGCAAATTGATACATTGTACATCTGAAAATGTGACTTTGCTGCAGCGTAAATGCTTATAGTTGAGATTAGTTGCGATTTAAACAGTTACGTGTTCCAACAAACTTTTTGGGGATATACATTTTGTACTTGTGGTTCCGGGTCGGAGTTTAAATCTGACCAGTCACCAGAGTATAAGTAAGTGCGCAGTAAATCGCCGGAAACGTGACTTTGTATGGTATGTTTTGGCCGCGATATCCCTGAAATCGTAATATCTGTGTACATATCTTTGTATTTTCTGAAAAGCCTGTTAGTTGTAGCCTTTATAGGTGGCGTAATGTTGGTGGTCCAGCGAAGACTGCCTGGTATAAGTCTGCGCGAATGGTTATGTGGCCTTTTCGCCTGACCGCCGGGATGGTACGTTCTATATGTGTTGTGAGTGTGTTCGGGCCATCGAAGATAGCGATAAACTTATCGCATCGATTTTAATTAAATTCAAATTTTGGAAACATTAGGTTCTGAGCTTCTTCGAGTACTAAGCCGTTACCCTGGGAAAATTCGTTTTTTTCCATGCAGCCATGGTTAAAAATGACGAAAAAAATTACCCCTTACTTAAAAATGTACTTTCATGTGCCTTATTTACCCCTAAATAAATTGGGAGCAGAAAATATCAATCAAGTGTATTGATAAGCGGCACGGCACCCCTTTCCACCGAAAGAGTGAAAAATTCTGACCCGCGTTTAGTACAGAAATGACAGCCCGTCGGGCTGAGGGTGTCAAATTGCTCGAAATACTAGTACGGAAGGAAACTCCGGTCCGAGACCTTGTATGTCAACATACTTACTGCATAAAGTAATATCTTGTTCTCTTTGTCCTCTTTTGGGTACAGCATGTTGTTACTGAAAGTAAAAATACAGTGTATTTTATTTCAGTCAGTGGTCTTACGTAAATACGATAGTTAGTTATCCGTGCTAGGTAAAGCGTTTCGTAATAATAGTAATTACCAATCTGTAGAAAATATGCATGAGAAGTTGTCCGTGGGGAGGGGGGCTGTACATAGCACTAACCATTCTTGGCAGAATCTGATTCCCACAAATCCAGGCCCTTCGTCGTGTCCGTAGTCCATTCTCACGTGTCCCAAGTGTCTGTACAATAAAAAGTGGTGTAAATCAAAGACTATTATCGATGAGAAATCCTACGAGCTGCTAGTGACAACTTTCGAGCACGATTTGAAGATGCTTCTTCTGTCTCGTCAAATTCCTTCTCGCGAGATCACAGCAACAGCAGCATAACGAAAATTCGGAAAAATCAAATGAACTCTATGAGTTATTGATTTAGTCAATAGCTATTGAGTAAAAGATGATATTTTTTGTCTAATGAATCGAATGATAATTTATGAACAATTTGTCCCTTTAGGAACATACAACTGTAATCTAATCGTTGTGATGCCACCGGAAGTAGTAGAACATTCTAGAACCTTCTGGAAGGTTCCAAAAACCGGAAACAGAAAGCCGGTATAAAAGCGTGGTCTGATTCATTGGGGCACATTTGTTGAGAAGCCTTAGCGACGTAACAGTCAGGTCCAAACTCTCTCCCGAGAAAACCATCACCATGCCTGAGGAAACACAGACAGCCGAAGTTATGGACGACTCTGAGGTGGAGACCTTCGCTTTCCAGGCTGAGATCGCTCAGCTGATGTCTCTGATCATCAACACGTTCTACTCCAATAAGGAAATCTTCCTCAGGGAACTCATCTCCAACTCCTCTGATGCCCTCGACAAAATCAGGTAAAAGCTGTTTTTATGGTTATAAATTATATCTAGGTTTATCTTCCTCTGTTAAACCGTTTTACAGTAAGATTCAACCTAATTTCTACACAATGCGGTACAGACATGCTGATAATGCCATAATTTTGCCTGTCCTTTGTCACATGTTCGCCGGACGCTTCTGTGATTAAGATATAACTATTGTTCGGGGATCCTTTTTACCAGTACCGCGGCTTTCTCAAGCTTGAGAGATACTAGTACAGTATTACGTTTAGATACATGCTTTCAGGGATACGGTAAAACAGTTTCGAGAAGGATATTCTTCTGGGGCTGACGCCTCGCCATGTGCCGCGAGTTTCATTCCATTCATTTCCGGCGACCACGTGGTCCGAACGCGCGCAGCTGTCCATGGCGAAGGGTCCAGAACCTTCGGGGTCCGCGCCCTTTGTTGGATCTCAATGAGCGATGAGTCTCATTTGCGGTGGTGTCAGGAACGTTGAACACGAAAGAAGAACTAATTACTTTCAATTTGAGTATTTGATTAAATCCAGGAATACACAGAAGCACAAAAACACAATTTTATGGTCCTTTTATTTTATGTAGATGTAGATGTACTTCTTTTCTATAATTTATAAAAGAAGTCCCCCCGCAAGAAGTTCTTGGTGATGCTATAACCATGGACGTAAAAGTGATATTTTACCTCCATGCTATAACTGTGTATTTTACAAAGATGTAAGTCTTGTATTATGCTCCTTTAGATATTTTTGAGGGCAGCCATGGTTTCATTCGATTTTTCCTGCACATATGTAGTTCTTACTGGGATTTTATGTTCATTGGTGATGTAGTTTTCTCCTGTTGAATTTGACTTCAATTTTGGATCATTAGAATTTAGATTTTAAAAATGGTCATGGACTTTCATGTTAGACATTTTTAGGATATATTCTCTTCATATCAATTATTAAAATTACCCATGTGCCACTGTACACAATTTCAGACATTGTAATTTGAAATTTTAGAATTGAAGCAAAATTTAGCCCATTTCACGTTGTCACATTGCCCCAGTAATTGTTCTTAAATCAGCATTTTCTATCAGCATTAAGAGATTAGTAGTGACAGGTCATCCCGAGTCTCCCTGTCCTAGCTTTGTAATACATGTATTCTAAAATCCTGTACCTCATGGGCAGTGAATTCTATTACATGTCCATTGTGGAGTAATGAAGTATTAAATTTACTATACATTATACTAGGATAATATTTTCAAAGAACAGGGAGTGAAATATACTTATGTAAACCTTTCTTCTGTCTACCTGGAATTGCTTGGTATGCTACTTTTTCTGATTAGACAATTTCACTATGATGTATTAGGCTACCTTATACAATTTCTGTGCATTGCTGTACTTTCAGGTATGAGTCATTGACAGATCCCAGCAAACTGGACAGTGGAAAGGACCTGGAGATCAAGATTGTCCCCAACAAGGAGGAGAACACCCTCACCATCATGGACACAGGTATCGGCATGACCAAGGCTGACCTGGTCAACAACCTGG